CACACACCCGGAAGTCAAGAATGTCTTCAGAGAGATTTTTTTTTTGGGGGGGGGAAGGTTCGAGACAGTGTTTCTCTGTAGCTTTGGAGCCTGTCCTGGAACGCACGCTGTAGACCTCGAACTCACAGATTCGCCTATCTCTGCCTGCCTCTCGAGTGCTGGGATTAAAGGCGTGCACCACCACTGCCCGGCTTGAGACCTAACATAGACCCTCCTGCTTCACTGTAACCTCCCCACCTGGCGTTCCCTCCAGTGTGTTTGAAAACTGCTTTGGGTCATGATTTCCTTTGTTCTGAAACTAGTACAACTTCATAAATCTGTCTCCTCGGTGTAGCAGGTTATCCGGGGAATCTGTTTCTGGATGTTAGTCAGGGTTCTCTAACAGAACGGATTGATGAATATAGAATAGAGGAGATTTTATTCGACTGGCTTACAGCTGTGATCTGGGTAGTCCAAAAATAGCTGTCTCGTGACCAAAAAGGTGAGAATCTGGTAGCTGGTCGGTTTGTGAAGCTGGATGTCTCAGCAATCCCAACCTGGTGCTGGAGTCCTGGTTGATTCCTGGAGGGCTGGTGGTCACTCTCTGCTGGAATCCCAAAGAAGTTGGTTCAAATGCTGGCAAAGGAATGTCTCAGCAATGGCATAGATAAATAAGTGGTCTTGCCAGAGATAGTGAGGGCGAGCAGGCAAAAAAATCAAAGTTTCTTTTTTTTTCCACATCCTTTTATCTGGACTGTTGCCAGGAGGCGTGGCCCAGATTTAGGGTAGATCTCCCTTCCTCAAATAATCTGATTAAGAAAATCCCTCACAGGAGTGCCGAGCAGTTTGGGTCTCAATTAATTCCAAATATTCAGTTGACGACCAATTTTAGTCATCACGTGGGGCCGTGCTCATTTATGTTTATCTGAAGAGTAAACTATCATCTCTTCTCCAAGTCAGAGAGGTGAGGGCTGAGCTTGAGGCAACGTCTTTCCCACTCCCAGGTAATACAGGAATTCCCCGCATGTGGCTTTAACACCACTGGCCAGTCAAAAACTAGCATCATTCTCCTTGCAGCTTAAGTGTACACCAGAGCCACCTGGAGACATGCTAAAACAGTTGGCTGGGCCCACTGGAGTTTTTAGCTTAGTGGGTCTGGGATAGCACTGCTGACCCATAGCCCACACTCCGAGAGCCACAGCTTTACAGGGTCAGTTTGCACCAGGTAGGAGCGGGCACACACTTTTAATCCTAGCAACGGAAGACAGAGGCAGACAGATCTCTGAGTTTGAGGCCAGCCTGGTCTACAAAGCCAGTGAGGACAGCAACCAGGGCTATACAGAGAAACCCTGTCTCAAAAAAAAAATAATAAACACAGCAGCAACAAAAAAGAATTACCAATTTGCAAGGGGTGTGGGGAGGTGGTAGCTCAGTTGGGAGGATGATGGCTTAGCATGCACAAAGCCCTGGGGTTCGAGTTCCAGCACCACTTCAGCGAGTGGTAGCCCATACCTGTAATTCCTGCAATCTGCAGAAGAGGCAGGAGGACCAGACGTTCAAGGTCATTCTTGGCTACTTAACAAGTTGGGAGGCCAGAATGGAATACATGAGGCCCTGTTTTGTTGTTGTTTTTTTTTTTTTTAATCAATTTGCGGATTGTCAACTCCCAGCTATCAGTTTGTGTTTGGAAGGTGCCTGGAATGAGATGGCCCCTTTCCACCTTCCCTTTCACGGGCACAGTCAGTACCGTCCCTCATGGAGAGCTGCCCTAGAACAGGTACCAAACTGGAAGGAGCCAGGAGCCAGCGGGTGCCCTGCAGGAGGCCCTGGGAGAAGGCTGGAATAGGCTGGGCGATGGTGGCGCACGCCTTTAATCCCAGCACTCAGGAGGCAGAGGCAGACGGATCTCTGTGAGTTCGAGGCTAGCTACAGAGAAACCCTGCCCGAAAAACCAGAGAGAGAGAGAGAGAGAGAGAGAAAGGAGAGAGAGAGGAGAATAGGAGAACGAGGAAGAGGAAGGGCTTCGTGAGATGGGGGATCTGTGTCTTCACTGAGTGCCGCTCATGGGGTGTGGGTCACTCCCCAAGAGTCTGTACCCATTCACATCAATAAAGAAGGCAGTGGAGGCCCAAAGAAATTATCCTCTTGAAGTTCAGCTCAGTGAACCAGTGAGTTCACTGGAGTTATTTATAGGTGTGTGAATGATCCCCTAAACAGCCGTGCTACCCGAAAGCCCCACTGAAGCATAGACACATAGATAGGAGCCCCCCACCCTTTAGTCATCCGTCCATCGACTATAGACACTCCAGCACCTGCCAAGACCCTCTGCAGCTGGGCAGGATTATGTGCAGCTGGGATAAGAGGGGAGGGAAGGGCTACAATGTCAGAAGAGGGCCTCTTTCTATGAGGGCTCTTTAACAGGCTTGATCTAGGGAGGGTCGCATGTAAGTGATCACAACTGGTCTCCTCAAGATGGAAATGGTCATACTATTATAGTTTTTAAAAACGGGGTGTGAGAGAGAAAGATGCCCTACGACAGAACTCATGTGGAGGGGGTCTTTTATTAGGGGAAAAGGAGAATATAAAAAGGGAAAAGGCGGGGGGGGCAGCCTCTGGGGACAGAAGCAGCAGAAGAGGGGAGAGAGATAGATACACAGAGAGAGGCAGACAGAGAAGCAGAGAATTAGAGGGGGAGGGAGAGGAAGAGGAGGGGGAGGGGAGGAATGGAGGGAGAAAGACATGAGAGGTGGGCAAGGCCTACTGTTTTTGTTTGGTTGGTTTTGGTTTTTGTTTTTCTAGACAGGGTTTCTTTGTAGGTTTAGAACCTGTCCTGGAACTAGCTCTTGTAGACTGGCCCCGAACTCACAGAGATCTGCCTGCTTCTGCCTCCGAAGTGCTGGGATTAAAGGCATGCGCCATCACCACCTGGCAAGACCCACATTTTAAAAGGGAACGTAGTGAATGTGCACATGGGTGCTCTTAGTGGCTGCAGCTGAGGACATATCTTATCAGGACCCCAAGGCCAGGCCAGTACTGACGCCTGATTACTAACACACTGATACTGCATTCCATGATACGTGGGCCTATTCAGCATGCGCGGTCTGTACCGTCTTCTGCAGGTATGTTATAGTTTCACAAGTCTTCTCAAAAAAAAGAAAGAAAGAAAATCCCATCAGTCCTGTTGCTCCATTTCATGGACGCATTGACCGATTGGTTAGGTCACAGCTTTCTTATTTCTCAAACTTAGAAACAGAAATCAGAAGACACGGGCGGAATTCGTCTGTCTGGCACAACCCCCAACATGTCTCAAACTCTGAGTCAGACAAGGGAAGAAAGATGAGGTGGTTCTCTCAGGGCAGTGTCTGCACACTTTCTCAAATTGAAAACTGACATCAGACTGCTCCGGAGAGAATGCGAGTCTGGCTTGGCGGACTGGTTTGCCCCTGAAGCACAGCCTTGCCAATGAGGTCATCTGAATATGCATTCTTCATAAGTGAAATGACCTAAGGCAGTGTTGCTATAGTTTAGGTGACACAGATTTAAAAGAGTGATTATAACATAATAAAAAAAAAAACAAGGCATTTTGCCAACAACTTTGGGATTAAGAATTGGAGCTACAGAATTGTTTAAAAATTATTTTAGGGTGCATATATGCAAAAAAACACTGCAGACTCTTCATTTTGAGACAAGGCCCTACAGTATAGCGCAGGTGGCCTCAATCCTCTGAGTGCTGGGATCAGCTGTGTAGGCCTACACAAAGCCTGAAGATCACACGAGTCAGTTCCCCGGGCCCCAGCTGTCACAGAGAATCTTAACACAATACAATTCCTTACAATTCCAGAGGTCAGGGGTCCAACACGGACCCAACTGGGCCCAAGCCACCTTGTGAGCAGGGGCTTCTGGAGAAGGGGGAGAGCCCTGTGCTTTGTCTTTTCCAGATTCTGGAACCTTCCTGCATTTCACGGCACATGTCCCCTCCACCTTCAAGCTAACAATGGCTGCTTGACTCTTCATGATACTCTCTACAATTCTCTCCCAGTAAGGATGGTTGTGGCTACACTGGGCTGGCCTGGGTAATCCAAGCTATATTCTTTTAAAGTCAATGGATTAGGTGGGTGGTGGTGGTACACACCAGCACTTAAGAGACAGAGGCAAGAGGATCTCAGTGAATTTGAGGCCAGCCCGGTCTATAGAGTGAGTTCCAGAATAGCAAGGACCGTATCACAGAGAAATTCTGTCTCCAAACAAACAGAAAACCACACAAGCCTGCAATGTCTAACCTGGTCAAATGTTTATGTAGTTCTAAGCCATTGACATCACTTTCCAAAGCTGATACTATGTAAATTGCCCACACCTCTGCCTTCATTTTATTTTTTCCATCCTGCTTCTATTTAATCCCCTCACTTAAAGTTCCATTTGTGTGTATGTGTGTGAGTGAACATGTCATGGTAGGTGTGTGGAGATCACAGTGAATTTCTGGCAAACTGAGTCTTTGGGTTCAACATGTGGGCCCCTGGGAATTGAACTCAGGTCCCTGGACTTAGAGGCAAATGCCTGCTGGGCATTGCCAGCCCTCTCCCACTCGTTTTAAATAACTGACATCTTTTGATATTTTCCAGCCCAAACGCAAGTCCCTTCTGGGAGGTGGAGATGGGCAAGGGCTAATCTGGGGCTAGCTCACACTTCTGTTTGACTTCAAGAAGGTCCAGCAGAAGTTTTAAGGCTCCAATCCAGGCTGTACAAGGAACAAGGATTCCCGTTTCTGGGAGGGGGCAAGGACAGGTTGTGGCCTGGGTGGTAAGTCTGCAAACCCTCAGCCTTCCACTCCCACGCGTCAAGAGCAGAGGCTGATGGTGCGAGCCCTCACGAGACCTGCCCTCGTGTGGCAAGTTGGCGGGTGGCGGGTAGGAGGTCCAAGCTGCAGCGCTTAGAAACAGGCTTCTCCATTGGCTAATCGCAGCATCCATCACAGCGCCGCAGTCTGTCATTGGCGGCTCCAGGCAGAGGCGGAGTTTATGATCAGCTCCGTGCCACGTGCCCCCACGTGAAAAAGGGCGCAGCACGAGTACTGGTCGGGCCATGGCGAGCGTGGACGAGGGTGGGCGCAGGAAGCCTCGACTGGCAGCGTCGCTGCAGATCAGTCCTGGACCCTGGAAGCCCTCCGGAGGCCAGGAGCCCGCGGAGGCTGGGAACGAGGCACCTGAGACCCCTGAGCCTGGGGTGGCTAATGAGCAGGAGGCCCGCGGGGAGGCCCGTAAGGCCCCGGGGGACTCGGTCCTGCGCGCAGGGCCCACAGGCGTCTTCCCTATGGCTGCCCAGGTACTCAGCCTTCTGCCCAAGGACCCATCCCCAGGCCAGGCGGTGGCCCTGCTCACCCAGTGCGTGGCTAACCTAGGCATCTCTCTGACCTTCCTGGAGGACCAGACTACAGGTGGGACCTGGGGCAAGTGTGTTTGTTAGAGGGTGAAGGAGCTACTAATTAATGCAGTATGGTCCGTACAAAGGAGCAAGGCAAAGAGCTTCAACAATATGATGCCTTCAAGGCTACAGCTAAGCAAACATCTCCATTGGCTACCCCAGGTGAAAAGGGCCAGTTTCGTGCCGGCACAGTTGCCGGTGTCGGAGACTGCGCCTTCCTCATGGGGAGTGCTACTTTCCCAAAGGGCTGCACACACCTGAAGGAACTTAAGTGTGCTCTTATCCTTGGATCAGATGAGATTTTTTTTTTTAACCTGCTCTTGGGCTATTACACCTGAGATGATAGTGTTGAACAGAAAGATCTTTTAAGAGGAGGGTCCCTGGTGGAGAAAAATAAAAGGCCGAGTCTGGTGGCTGTTCCATATGGGATGGGAGAACGTCCTCCTAGGTCCTATCCTACCTCCCACAAAGTGCCAATCCTTCCATGCTTGTTCCAGAAAGCCCTGTGAAAGCCAGGTTGAGTTAGCAATGGGGATATCATGGAGAGACATCCACCACCTGCTGTCTGAAGAGTCCCCTTAGTGTGCTAGTACCTCTTTATTGATCTGGTTGTCATCTGTTGTCAGGTGTCGAGAGGAGGAGGCTAAGGTTGATAAATCCCTACTAGAAATGGCTGAGCTGGGGCTGAAGGCCAGAAGACTCCTCCTTCCTCAAGATTTCTTCCCCAGGTACGAGCTCCTCATTCTCCGTGTGTGCAGAACTGGATGGGTTGGTCTGTCCTGCCGGAACAGGGAGAAGCAAGTTGGAAGCCAAACAGCAGGCAGCGCTCTCTGCCCTTCAGTACATCCGGAAGCATCTGGAAAAACCAGGTAGCCAAGGCCCAACTGGGTGCATGGTGTGTGTGTGTGTGTGGGGGGTGTTGTGGGGTGTGTGTGACTGTGGTGGGGGGTTGAAGTGTGATGTTGGCTGTTGGGATGTGTATGTGGGGGGTATATGGTTGGGGCTTGGAGTGTAGGCAGGGTGTTGTGGTATGTTTGTGGGGGTGTATGATGGGGTGTATATGGTACAGTGTGTATGTGGGGTGTGTATATGGTGGAGGTTGGAGATGTGTGGGGTTGGGGTGTGTGGGGTGTATGTGTGATGTGGCGTGAGAGGCATATATGGATCTACAGTCACATCTGGGCATCAGCATGGTTCTAGAAAGGTGTCACCTCTGCCCTGATGGTCCACACTGGAGCCAGAGAGCACAAGAGCAGCTGCTGGTGGAGACTTTGCCTCCTCTTTTTGGCTTCCCAAAGGATAAGATCCAGCACCCATGCAACTAGCTGCTCTTGTCTTTTTCAGAGCCCCCTGTGACACCCCGCCAGTGTCTGCTCACCTCTCTCAGCATAGGTAGGTAGGCCCTTGGCTCGAACCCTGGTGTCTGCTCTCAGGAAAGAGGGAAAAGTGGGGGACGCATGGCTTGTGGGTCCTGCACTGTCCTCTGGTTATTGTGCAGAGAGTATCCTGACCCATGAGCAGCGCTGTGCAGCTGTGGTCAGTGCCGGCTTGGAACGCCTGCTGAGTGACAGCTCACCGTACCAGACCTGTAAGGGGACAGTGGCAGCAGTCATCCTGGAGAGGGGTAGGAATTGCCCTGCCCCCACCCCAGCTCTGCCAACAAGCACAGGATCCTGGCCTAAGTTTTCTGTCCCTTCCTGCACAGAGGTCCAAAGCACCAATGGTCACTCCAAAGAGACCTACGAGCTGGTGGCACTGGGCACAGGCAGCAGCAGCTGTGCTGGCTGGCTGGAGTTCTCAGGTCGAAGGCTCCACGACTGTCATGGTTTGGTCATTGCCCGCAGGGCCCTGCTGAGGTGAGGAGCAGAGCGGTCAGGTGGTTCTGCAGCAGGCAGGCTGCCTAGGGTCATTATCCTACCCCACGCCCTGGCTGTCACTCCCAGGTTCTTCTTCAGACAGCTCCTGATGGCCACACAGGGGGGTCCTAAGGGCAAGGAGCGGTCAGTGCTGGCTCCCCAACCTGGGCCCGGGCCCCCCTTCGCCCTCAAGCCCGGGGTCTTCCTGCACCTGTATGTGAGCAACACCCCCAAAGGGGCAGCCCACGATATCTAGTAAGTGTCCTAGGTTGGGAGTCCCTTGGTTTCATTGCGGGGGAATTGGGGTGTAAAGAGTGTCCTAATTCTAGGCTTCTGCCTCCTTCCTCTCCCCGTCACAGCCTCCCACTGTCCTCAGAAGACAGTGTCCTGCACAGACCAGCCTTCCGCCTGCAGGCCCATGTCTGTGGGCAGCTGAAACCTGTATCCTATGTGGCTCCTGCCCTCCGCGATACCCATGTGGGCTGCCTCTCTGCCAGTGACAAGCTGGCACGTTGGGCCGTCCTTGGGCTGGGCGGTGGGCTGCTGGCCCACTTCCTACCTCCACTCTATGCCACCAGTCTTGTCCTAGGTAAGGGGCACAAAGTGCTAGGGCAGAGAACGGACTCTGGGTGGTGCGGAGGATGTGGTGACTCAGGCCATGTCCTGTGCTTTCTGCCCACAGCTGACCCCTGCCATGACCCCCCAACTCTGAACAGGGCCATTCATTCCCGGCCTAAACTGGACAGTGACTTGGGGTCCTGTCTTCCCTCTCCGTATGTCCGTACCACCTTGCACCTGTTTGCTGGGCCCCTGGTGGGCCCCTCTGACCCGGTGCCCAGCACCTGCCGTGGTTTGAGCCTCAACTGGAGCCTGGGGGATCCTGACATCGAAGTTGTTGATGTGGCCACCGGACGCGTGAAGACTGAGTGAGGAGGGCCCTGTGGGACTGAGCCTTAGCAGGGAGCTCATGGCTAGGGAACCCCGTCCCCTGACTCACAGGGCAAGAGCACCGCGGTAACTGGGGCCTCCTGTGACTCTGGTAATACAGACCCTGAGTGGGAGAGTGTGTGAATGGCGTGGGTAGGCCTACCTGCTCTTTCCCAGTGACTCCTGTGTGTCCTTTCTCAGGGCCAGCACGGGGTCGCCCTCACGCCTCTGCAAAGCGGCCTTTCTTGCCGCATTCCGCCAGGTCGCCAGCGCTCTGGAGAAGCCCGAACTCCTGTCTCTGAAGACCTATGAGGCTGCCAAGGTGGACGTCTCTTCTCTCCAACCCTTTCCTCTCCCCTCAACCCTCTCAACAGATACCTCACTCACCCTGTCTCCTCCCTGTCCCCAGGCTGTGCCCTACAGGGAAGCTCGTCAGCAGCTCTCTCTCCTTTTGGACATGCAGGGGCTGGGGGCCTGGCCCTCAAAGCCACTGGTGGGTAAATTCAGGCACTGATCAGACTTCGAGGGAAAAGGACCCAAGTGGACTTGGACCTCTTCAGTGGGACAACGTACTGGGGGCCTAGCAAGGGGAGGTGGAGAGCATGGTGGGTGAGGGCAAGGCTAATTGGTCGGGGGGGGGCCCTAAAACACCCAATAGTTGAAGAATGGAAGTTCTTGTATGTCTAGTTTGAATAAAGAAATGATTTCTTGTGGTCTGTTGTTTGGGTGTATTGACGTAGTGGGTCATTGTGGGGCGCCTTTCATGCCACCACAGGTGGGTACTCACTTAGACCCTGCCTTCCAGAACTTTCTGTCATAATTCGTCATCCAGTTTGCACACCCGAAACCAGACTTGGTAGGGCCCAAATGCTAGGGCAGGAGGGCAGGGTGGGAGCATTTTCTTGCCTGTGAGGCCTGAATCCCTTCCCTTTCAAGGCTTAGGCAGGGAACTAGGAACACATGGGTCCTGTCATCTAGTCAGAGGCATCTCTTGTGTTCTGTGGGTTAAGTGCCCATGTTGAAGGGTGCAGGGTGGCAGCAGACACCAGGAGTCCTTCTTCTGGGACACTTGGCTGCAGAAGCCCCCTGCCCACTGTGGAGAAACCAGCACTTTTCGGTTGCAGGGTGAATGCTGCTTCCTCCCTCACCTCCAGGGTGCCACGGTGGATGCAGAAGGAGGATGGCGCACACTGCAAATATGCCTGAAGATGCTGCATCAGCAAACCAGGGGCCTTGCCACCCTGGGTAGGAGAGCTGCAGCTTTGAAGTTTGGGGAGCTGGTGTTGGTCCCATACCCCCATTCCACATCCCCCTCCTCTCCTGGTCCTGGGTCAGAGTACTGTCATGGAGGGTCCTAGTGCAGTTGGTCAAGGGTGGTGTTGATATCTAGTGTTCTGTGGGAACACTAATGGCTAAGGGGTGCACACATCCTGGGCATCTAAAGCAGTTCTGGGAACCGGCATTTGACTCGGGGTGGGTGAAGAGGGACATGTGTGGTACATGACAGAATGGCACTCTTCTCAGACGTGGGCACAAGTGTTTTGGTTCCTGAGCCCATGGTTCCTGGGCTTTAGGGTTAAACGGAGCAGCCCAGGCATTCAGATAGCCAATTAGATGATTCCCCAGCCTCCACAACAGTGTTGCCCATTCCAACAACCCTGAGACTGTGTGTCCTGTTGACCTCTTGTCCTGTTTCTCTGTTGACCATTAACGGACACAGATGACTTCTGCCAGGGCTGTTATTCAGGACCAGGCTGGTCGCTGAGCCTGTGTTTATACTAGTAGACTTGCAGAGAGAGACGCCAATCCCTTTGTCCACAGGTCACACATCTGCAGTCAAGTGGCGGCAGATCAAAATACCCATAGTAGAAAATCCATGTGTATCTAATGCATAGATTCCATTACTCAGCCTCTCTGAGTCCTATTTTGCTGACTTAGAAGAAGAGGACCAGGGGAGGTCATTGCTAGTTTCCTCGTGGCTCAGCTGTCCCTGCCTTTGCTCTGCAGCTCCCGGCTGCTGTGGAGATCAGCATCCCCTGCCAGTCACATCTGCTTGAAGAGGTCACAGAGCCAGGGCCATGGGGCAAGGAAAGGTCATAGAACAGGCAGAAGAATAGGAAGGGCTACCATGGAGGAGAGCTGAGTCCTCAGAAGCACAAAGGCCCCTTGCTGAGAGAAGGGACACAAGGAAGCTGGTAGCCTTTATCATGTCGCTTTTGAAATCATTTCTCATGCTTATAATTTTCCAGAGGGGAGGGTTCTAGAAACCCCACATCTATTCATTAGCCCACTTACTGCCCACTATTTACCCCAGGAGACAACTTAAGTTGATTGACTATTCTTACCGCGGCGGTGACGGTGGCCAGGATCAGCCACTGTGCTTCGGTTTTATGTCCCTGAGCCTGCAGGACCCATTAATCACATAATCACTGAGTAAACAAGTTATTCAAAATGACATTAACTCTGCTGTGATCTGCCAAGAAGTACTTGTTGTCCTCTGGCTGTACCTATGGGCCTGCCGATCCTTCCCTCCACAGCCATCTGCCCAGCTCCCTTCTCTCGACTCTATCGTCTCAGGGGGATGGAGTCTGTTGAAGTCTTCTTGGCCTGATCCCCCTGGGTGAAGTTTTGCTGACAGCAGCATATTTAAATTGGGAGCTGATGTAGCATATCCTGGCACACTCCTGCAAGGCTTCTCGGGTGCCTTCAGCTTCCAGCCCTCTTCCTGCAGGCCTGGCCTGTGGGAACTTTTCTGGACCTCAGTAGTCTCTGCACTGTGCCATCTCTGTGTTCCATCTTCACTCCAGCGGCTGAGTGTGCACATAGTAGAAGCATGGACTTGGGGGACCAAGGCTCTGGTCTGCCTTTCTAGTTGTCAGGGTCCCAACGAGGGAAGGGAAAGTGAATCCCAGAGGTCCTGGCTACAAGCTGATAGTGGGATTCAGCCAGGAGCAGATGGGCCTGTTCCTGGCTCCTGAATGCTTCTTTGTGTCTGCCATCAGTCCTGGAGGGGAGGCCGTTCATGTCATTGTTTCCTGCACTGGGACTGGGGGTGGGGGTGCTGTGTGGCACAGACAAACTGTGAGTAGAAAACTAGCTTTGTAGGGTCTCTTCACAGAAGTGTGTCTGGGTGAGACCAGAACCTGTTCTAAACAGGACTCCGTGGGGCTGGGACAGAGCTCCATATGCAAAACACTCGCAGTGCTGGGGAGGCAGATGCAGGGAAATCCCCAGGACTCCAGCCTAGTGAAATCAGTCAGTGCCAAGTCAAGTAAGAGACCCCAGTTCACAATAGAGCTAGGCAGAGGTAGACTTTCCAGAACTCCACCCCTAGCTCCACGTCAAAGTACTGAATGGAGTGTTCCATCCAGCATGGACCAGTGTGTGTCCACTCCCTGCTAAAGGACATCTCAGAAATTATGAAGAAAGTGCTTAAGCATCTGTACCAGGACTTTGTGTCAACTTAAATTTTCATTCCTGGGCAGATATCTTGTTTTTGTGGGTTGTTTTGTTTTTGGTTTTTTTAGGGCAGGGTCTCACTCTATATTCCTGGCTGACTTCAAACTTGGGGTGATTCTCCTGCCTCTGCCTCCTAGTGCTGGGGTTGCAGTCATATACCGCCACACATAGTCCCCACAGTCCTGGGAAATCAAACCCAGGCTTTATACTCATCAGGCAAACTAGCAATTGAGCTGCATCCCTAGACACTGGTTATTGTTAGGAGCAGTCTTAGCTCTGCAGTCCATCATACGAAATTAGACGCTGACTCTGTGTCCATGGCGAGGGGACCATCTGGGGTACACATGTGATGGAGGGGACTCTGGGGCTCAGTAAGGAGCCGAGAGACTGGAGTCAAGCAAGCTGGACTTCATTCCCTAATCCATCTGATGACCTTGGGATTTCTACCTCAACTCCTTGTGCCTCAGTTTTCTCACAAAGCAGGAGGAGGCTGTCGTGAGGTTAACTAGTGATTACATGTGAAGGCATGGAGCCCAGCATCCCTGGTGGGCACTGTGGTCCTCACCCATGGATACCACTCCATACTCTTCCCCTCTCTTGTGGAGCAGCCTGATGTGGGATGACCCTCTGTATGCTGTGAACACCTTGGTTAATAAAGGAACTGCTTTGGGCCTATAGCAGAGTTATAGGGGAACAGAGCTATGCGGGGAAAACTTAAAGTGAATGCTGGGAGAAAGAAGGGCAGAGTCGGAAAGAAGCCATGGAGCCGGCGCCAGAGACAGATACTGGGAACTTTACCCAGTAAGCCACTGCCACGTGGCTATACACAGATTAATGAAAATGGGTTAAATTAATATGTAAGAGTTAGTCAATAAGAAGTTAGAGCTAATGGGCCAAGCAGTGATTTAAATAATATGGTTTCTGTGTGATTATTTTGGGGCTAAGCAGCCAAGAACCAACAAGCGACTCTCTCATTACAACAGCAGCCCTCTCATTTTCCCGAGATGTCACTGTCCCCGTTGTCAGGGGTGTGACTGAGCCTACCTTCTGCTCCTGGATGAGCCTAAAGTCTCATGAACCAATTGGTGCCACAGTAGCCAGGTTTAGGCTGTGTGTGGTCAGAGAAGACTTGCCTGGGATTCTAGGATAAAGGGAGCTTCCACTCTTCAGGGCCTGGTGGAAGGAAAGGGTAAAATTTGGAGCTGGTGCAGCCGCCTTGTAGTCAGGAGGAAAGCCTAGGGGTGAAGGTAATATACCCAGAAAGACAGGGAGAAGATGAAGCGAAAATGAGCTTGTTTGATACTGATGGGGTTGCCTGAAGCCCTGGGTCGAACCACTCCTGGTGTCCGCCAGGATTTCAGTACTAAGAACTAACACTGATCCTCTTGTTTGTTTAATGAAGTCCAAATGGAGCTTCTTCAACCTGGAATCAGATTGCCCTAACTGAGATTTCTGGTGTGCTTTCAAAAGCGGTTCCCGTTCCTGGGTCAGGAGAGTGGCAGACAAGAGAAATAAAGTTCTGTCCAGTGAGCCCTTGGCTTTTCTGTATCAGGATCTCCTCCCCCTGCCCCCCGCACCTCCAGTGTCTCCAGCTCCAGTTGCCCAGTGACGAGCAGGCTGGATCACACCAGTGCATGGGGGCTGCCTTCGCTGTGGTCACACCTCTCCCAGATGGCTTGAGAGTCTGCGAAGGGATCCTGGCTCCGACTTTCTGCAGAGGTGGGTGGTTGCCAGAGTCGCACACACTGTTGCTCAAGGCTGCTCCACAGGTTGCCTTTGGGAACATGGAGGATCAACTGGGATTCTTCATATAGCCCAGGCTGGCCTCAGAGTCTCTATGTAGCCCAGGCTGGTCAGACTTTCTATAGAGCCCCGTCTTGTCTTGAACTTGTAAAGTCTTTTTTTTTTTTTTAAAAAAAAAAATGTCATTTAATGTTTAATTCAGAAGGGTACAGGGTCCCCAGATCTCACCCAGTAAGTGCAGGAGGCACCTCAGGCCTCACAGGGGTCCACATCAGGCAGGTAAGTGCAAATACAATGGAGGCTAGTTTTAGTTCGGGGCCTACACTGTCCTGGGTTGTGTCACATGGTACCTGTACCCTCTTGGCTGTGTCCTCCTTACAGCAAGTCCCTAAGTGGTAGCTCTGAGTTCCCTACGTGTCCTCAGAAGCAGACTGCTGCAGGGCAGGGCTGGTGCCCTTAGTTTTATTTTTAACTGACATTGTATTCCGGGAGGTGCCCCTTGGCTAG